CATCCTCGTAGCCCTGCGCTGGACTCTCTCCAGTAGCTCCTCATCTCTCTTGAACTGGGGAGCCCAGAACTGGTCACAGCACTGCAGATGGGGCCGCCCCAGGGCAGAGCAGAGGGGGAGGAGAACCTCCCTCGCCCTGCTGCCCACACTCCTCCTCATGCACCCCAGGATTCCATTGGCCTTCTTGGCACCCAGGGCACGCTGCTGGCTCATGGTTGACTTGTCATCCCCCAGCTCACCCAGTCATCCACCAGCACACCCAGTTGGAGATGTCCCTGTTCATGGCAGGGGGTTGAATTGGGTGGTCCTGGAAGGCCCCTTCCCACCCAAACCCTTCCATGGTTCTGCGACCGAAAGACCAGTACCTAAGTTCTCCGCGAGCCTCTTCTTGCTCATCTCCGCCGCCTCTTGCCGGAGCTGCAGAGCGTGCTGGGCGATCTCGTCGCTCGCCACGTTGGAGGTCATGATGAAGATGGCATCCTTGCAGTCGATGGTTGTCCCCTTCCCGTCCGTCAGTCGGCCCTGCAGCAACACCGCGCCAACACCGGCAGCGTCAGCAGGCGCCGTGGGACTTGCCCAAACCGCGGGGCGGAAGGACACGCGTCCCGTCTCTCGGGATTTATTTCGGAAGGGACGCCCAGGACGCTCCAGCACCTCCTCCTACCAAACCCATGCAGGAACCCTTCAGAAGTCCTATTTCTCTTGATCAATAAAATAAAATAAAAAAAGGGGAGAAAAATAAGGAACAAACAAGCGGTTCCCCAGGCAGCTCCTCTCCTCGCTGCGTCTCCGGCAGCAGATACCTGGCGCAACGACGCAAATCCTTGTTGGGTGCTTGAGATCAACAGTTGGGTTATTGCCCTGTCAAGCGTGCGCTGCAGGAATTGATTTCACATTTGGCTGCTGCCGCCATGATCTATGCAAGAAAAAATTGTGTTATTAATCCTTAAAAAGAAAAACAAACCCTCCCCTCCGCCCCACACACCTCCCAGGGCTTCGCTCTGGGGTTCGGTTGCCTCCGAGGGCAGACCAGGGTCTTCAAGATGAGCCGAAGAGCTCGGACGCGCCAGGCTGAGGGCTTCACAGAGACACAGAATAGTAGGGGTTGGAAGGGCGCTCTGTGGGTCACCCAGTCCAACCCTCCTGCCCAAGCAGGGTCACCCAGAGCAGGCTGCACAGGACCACGTCCAGGCGGGTCTTGAGTATCTCCAGAGAAGGAGACTCCACAACCTC